CATGCCATTGGACCGCAGAGAGACACGGGATTGGCTGAGGCCAGGTGGTCCAACATGTCTGCGCCCTGATCCGACGCCACGGCCTCACCACACCACATTACACACGTAAGCTATGGTCATTTTGTAAAAAAATTGGGCACAAAATGTCTCCGAAATATCCGGGAGACGTTTTGGTGGCAATTTATGTCGCCCTTCATCATGCTTCACTTTGCAAATTTCCCCTTAGTATACTGATTTGAACGTTGCTCTCACTGTATAAATCTTAAACCCACCCATCCCAAACATGTGGCATCTCCATTAATTATATTATCTTAGTGTAGATCAATGTCTGATGGTAAGCTCTTGAGCACTATAAACATTTTATAGTGTTTTTTTAAATCCGCATTTGTTTTTTCTACGCTTTGGCACGACACTTCTTTACCATTGCTCTTAATTGCCGTTTTTTTCTTCGCACCGGTACCTTCAGCTCTTTTGTAGACAAATTGCAACAGACTGCTCTGGATCCACAATTTGCGCTGTACATAGTTCTATACTGATTCGTGTATTTGGTTGGTTGCAATCTAGGTAGTTGTTGCGCAGATTGCACATCAGTATACTACCCTTGATCAGGCATTATCAGTAGTCTTTTCGTAATAAACATTATCTGTTAGGCGGCTTGTGTCACTATTTCCTTACAGCATCTATCGTGTTATTTGTTCTGGTGGCAATTACTGCCAACATTATCCAAAAAGCTCTCTTCATTCTTGCTCGGCTTATCAAAATGTTGTACTCATTCAATGGAATGGCCTTCCGAAGTTGTGTCTCTATTTGTAGGTATTCCTAGGGAGCCTAACTCAATAAACTTTAAGGATTCAAAATTGGGTACTTAGTTGGTTTAGCTTGTCAGGCCTTCGTCTTTGCACACTCTCAGGTTGTCTTATTTCACTCAAACTGCTTTAATCTAAATCGTGGATAAGTACTGCTACTAGCTGAGAGTCATCAAAATGTAATCTTATGGGATGTTTATCTTTATGCTATATATCGCTGCCTATTAAAGTAATGGGTTTTTTCTTCCATTATCCAATGGTATTTGGCTTTTAATTCGAGAATCAAAACTGCCGTTATTTTACCATGGTCATTGCTAATGTTCCGGTATAAAATACTCTTCTTCTTCGTCACACCTTTTGCCGTCGAAATCGTTAATATTGTATAGAGCCTGGAATTGATAACAATATTTCCTTGATTATGCGTGTATATTCATATTCTTGGTCAACTTTTCTCGAAATTTCTGTTTTTACATTATTTTTGATGTTACTAATTTTCTTGGGTCTTCTGCAACCTAGAATTTTTTGATAGTCTTAGTTTCGTTCGTCGGCAATGACATATTTCAAAGCACTTTCAACTCAGGTTAACGTCTATCATTTATTCGTAATTGCTCGTCCCCTAATAAATTATATCATTGCGGTATGACTTCATCTCAAATCAAAAATTGCTCCGTTATATTGTTGCTACAAACATCGTGGCTGATGGCAACCTACTGGAAACAAGGTCCCATTGAAATTTTATTTTTAGTTACTTTTCTTAAGTTACAGTCCTATTGGCTGGACGGCGGAGTTCAAATTTGCCTTTAGGTAACAAGGTGCTCGAAATTTGCATTTTGAAATACTTATTGCCCAGACCTTCCCCTTTAAAACGTGGAAATGAGGATTTTGAATCCTGATTTATTTTAGATTGTGAAGCTTCCGTAAATTGGCAACGGACCGTTCGGAGTTTAGTGGATAGTTGGGCTTTGTGGTTTAAAAGAAGCCATGTTTATCTTTCTCGCAACCCACTTTAAAACGACTTTCAATGTTTGTGGTAATGTGGTGTTTCGTTAGGTTGCCTTATAGGTATGTCGGTGTCGATTAGGTGGTTTTGACGTTAAAATGACTTCGTCCTCAAAATAACTAATCAACATTGTCAAGATGCCGGATTTCCACAAAAGCATGCTGCGTAGAATGTAAATACCATAATTTCAAAAGTTGGGAGTCACTTAGAACCATTTGGATGCCAAACACCCTCTACGTGGGTGTGCTATATTAACAGCATCGATTCCGAGATTCTCTAGCCACTACAGAGTCGGTCGTTTTTTTGAGATGTTTCCTGCTGTAATGTTGGGTGAGAATCATAAAAATAATTGACCTATCAGTCTTAAATATGATACATGCCTTTTTGAAGACGTGCAGTTCCCTTTCACGCTTTAATCTTTAAGAGCAGTTGCGTTAATTTAAAGCTTCAGATTATGTGGGGTAATGGGACACCTCAAAATGTAGTCGTTCTCCACTGGTTCAGTGTATTGGCTTGTCTATTGCCAATTTTTAATTGTTTTAATCCTAGTGTTCTCGGTCGTGCTTTAAAAAAATCGTCTTTTCAATTGCCTCTTTCCTCTTATATCTTCTTTTAGCCTGTCAATTCCCTTCGTTTTTTTTGGTTTCTGCCGTTGGTAGTTGTGGATACTACCCTTATAACTCATCCTATCTTTCTTATTAAATATTGATTTCATTTTTGTTTTCACCCATGCCTATCCCACCTTTGCGTTGTTATCTCGGTTTGTACAATGTAGTTTTCAAAAAAATTACAAGTGATTCCGTCTTGTCTGATGTTTTTTGTCATTGTAAGAAATATTGAAGGTTGATCTTCCCGTCAACAAGATAAGACAAATATTTCATTCGAACCGGAGTTTTTGGGAAGGGGAGATCCGTGTAGGCCCAGGAAAATAACTAGTTTTCCTGACAATTTGTCTTTAAAGGCAAATTTTGAAAGTTTGGAATCCTGTACGAAAGCCTTCGAAGTTACATATTCAAAGCTACTATAAGATAGTAATTAAAACGTTCTTATCAGTCGGTTCACACGCGTTAGTTGTCAAGTAGGTTTGGACAACTGGAGTAATTCTGATTGGTGGTGACTGTTTATCGGCAAAGGAGCCCTGCCGAGTTTTTCAATTTCCTCTTTGAAATCCCCTGTGGTGACGTGGACAATTTCTCATTGAGTGTCTAGGCTCTGGTCTTTCCTAGCTGGAGACGATATATTTTGGCCGTGTATAATGCTTAAAATTCCCCTAAGATTATTCCTGTTGTAAACACTTACGTTCTTCCAGAGACATATATAGATCTGCTTCGTGTAAGTAGTCACTTTTGTGGTTGTTTTGACGATTTTCGAATTCTTTTGGCTTTCATAGATGTCCGATTTAATTTACTCCCCACTATTTCGAAACTGGGCACCTCTTGTTGCCTTGGCCGAGTCACCCGAACCCCCAAAGCTGTGGATTCATGCGCCGCTTGCTGCAACTAAGGAACATATCAAGGAGGCTTGGCGCTCAGTTCGCGAATTTGTGAGAGATTTGCTCACCTCAGAGCCCTATATCGCACCATCCAGTGGGATAATAGATTTTTCTCCTACGTTTGACAACGAAGAACGCCTTATTGTACGTTGCTATTTTTGTACACTCCAAAAACGGAAAGCCTTCATCAGCCAAAATAGAGAGCAATTTGATTCCTTTCATTTTTTAAGCAGCGACCCGCATTTACCCGAGGATCCGTACTGACGATACCTCCCAACACAAGACTAGTATCCATATACCAGTAAAGATTTATTTTGCTCTGTATAGACTCTCTATTTAATCATTGAAGATCCAAAACCGCTGGGACCTGTCATTTTGAGGGGGCAGAAAAAGGCGAAAAACCTTTGAGGGAGTTACTCTAGATATCCATGAAGGTTCCTAAAAGCTCTTAGTTTGTTATAGCTAACTTCTGCCCAATTTTTGGTAGGCAACTTATCTCTCAGTGTCGGCCGAATTAGCACAGGTTTTGAAAATTTTACGTTGTTTCCTCTAAGTATGCCATTATTGTAGATCCAGAACTCGTAGGAACGCGATCATTTTTTAATAAGGTGTGTAACGAGGCAAATTCTTCTTAGCTAATTATTTGTGCGCTTTTTTAGCTCATTTTGCGGTTGTTGATTCCCGTCTTCAGTTTGGCCGGCTCATTGGGTCTCATCTACTACCTCATTGAGCAGCTGAACCCAACAGCCAAGGAAAAGAGAGCTGCCCGAAAAAAAGTGAGCCTCATCCCCGAACACTCTGGGGCTAGTCATACGACGGCAACAGTGTCATGAACGTAGCCAGCAGTGCCTTACCTACTGATTCCTTATCATCTAACCAAAATAACCCAACTATAACGAACTTATCCGTTCGAATTATTGTCACGACTGGTTGCGACGCGTCTATTCCTCATCAGACAAATTGTCCTCTTTGATGTAAATCAATGGCTTTGCGTTTTTCTCTGCTGGCGTGTCGAAAAGTTTTTATTTCGGATTTGAACAATCTTTTATGTTTGATTTCGACAGTTTGGGGATAACGAGGGATTTGTCAATGGGCCAAGGCCTTATTGATGACCAGCACACCTTGCAATCAAGGTTATGGCAATATGTAACAGCTTCTTCTGCTACTATACTTAAAAAAGCTTGTCTTTCGCTTTGCTCGTAGCAGGTGATTTTTATGTTCTTTTTGATATACATAATCGATTTCAAATGCTGCATTTGGACATGGGAAATGTGGGTTTATTTACATGGAAATGTGCATTTACTTACATTTCTGTCAGATTTACCCGCCTGAATATGAAATGCCAGTCAATCAAATTCACCTACCCTAATAATCACGTATAAATAAGCACACACCATTTATTACTGCCTAGGCCAACGAACTTCTATCCTATCTGCATGTCAACCCGATCCCCAAGTTAACGGACTATGAGGTATGCATTGCCGTGAGCCTGGTAGACACCACTACACTGGAAACTGGCTGGGCAAATATCGGTGGACTTGACGACCTCATTACCGATCTCCGAGAATCAGTGATTCTTCCGTTCCGTTCTGCCTACTTTCTGCCACAATCAAAACTCTTCCGTGCCCCTAAGGGTGTCCTGCTCTATGGCCCGCCGGGCTGCGGCAAAACCCTGCTGGCGAGGGCTACCGCTCGTGCTGCCAATGCGAGGTTCTTTAATCTACAGGTGTGTGTGTTCGTGTGTATCGATGCAGTCCTCAAGACGGTCTGTTTCTTCTAGCTTACAAATAATGCGCTTTCTGCCAGACCTCTCTAGGCGGTTAATGTCTGCCGATTGTAGCTTCACTACTTCTAAATTTGGTAATTTTGTCTTTGTTTAGGCCTTGCACCGACGCGAACTGTACTTTTCAATAATTAGTAAGATGATACTGCTAACGCAGAGTAAAAGTACGTTTTTGTGTTTGGAAAACATCAACTTGCAAATTCTTCCAAAGATCACTACCCATAACTCCAACACCGTCAGTTTGAAGTGCAACATAGCCTGGATGGTTTCCCACTTACATTGTGCTAATTGGTTTCAACAATCATTGCGTCCAAGTGCAGTAACAATAAATTGGACTCCACTTTATTGAAACAATTGCATTTACATATGCGCGTGTACTCTTTTCAGATAACATATGTAGTCGGCATGTATTTACTCATCGACTATGCGTCTTTGGTAGTGAGCAGCGATTGTATGATTTGCTTAGTTACGAGTTTTTTTGTAGGCAACCTGACAGCCAGCGTTATGTTGCATTCGGAAGGTGTCAGTGGGAATTGTTTTGAAGCGCATGCATTGTTGTAATGAGTTCCCGATCACTTAACCGTTTGACGTGGGACATGAGCTGCAGCAACTTTGAATTTCATTCCTCGCTAAAAGTGCTAGCTGCATCAGCCTCTGCGCTGATACAGTATCGCCTGATTGCTCGACAAACGTCGCAGTGGCGACTTCAATGTAGTCCTTTATCTGAGCGCTTCGGCAAACTGGTATACCGCTTTCACTCAAAGATCACTATCCTTTTAAGAACACACACGTCATAGTCGGTCGGTTTTGCTTTCTTCGAATGTATTGAGGTATCTTAAATTGGTATATTTACATAACTGCAGCAATTCACACTAAATAGTTCCGATTTCAATATCAGCTACTCTTAGGCATTACTATTAACGTTATTTTCAACTCCAATAAAGTGCTTCCTTGTGGTTTGGTCTCAACTGCTGCTGATGACAACACAAACATTCCGCTTCCATGACCTGGGGGTAAATTAAGAAAAAATAATTTAACCATGCCAAGCCAAATCTCGGTTTCCTGAGGGATAACTTTGTTTATCTACATCAGTTTGAATCACTAGGCAAGTGTAAAATGGTCAAAAAACTCGGAATG